ATTTTGTTGTTGATGTTTTGTTTTGGAGGGCTTTTCATTTTGTTTTGGGTTTTTTGTTGTTTTTCAGGGGGATGTGTTTTGTTTTGTTTCTCAAGGGGTTTGTTTTGGTTTTTTTCTTTTGTTTTGGGGGGCTTTGTTGTTTGTTTTCTTTTTAGGCTGGGCATGCAGGATCTTAGTTCCCCAACCAAGGATCGAACCTGCACCCCCTGCAATGGAAGCACAGAGTCTTAACCACTGGACCGCCAGGGAAGTCCCTCTCTGCTTTTTTTCTTCCCCCAGGACAAAAACTTCATTGCCTGGTGATGAATTCAACCTGCCCTAGGATGGGGGCCAGGACAGTGCCATTTGCATTGAGCCTGGGGCTTTCCTCCCCATCAAGTGACAGTACATATCAGAGCCATGGACTTGGGTCCTAGAAAAATAGACTGATACAGATCTGAAGTAAGGGTGCAAAAGACATTTATGCTTTCTTACAAGGCTCTTGGGATTTTTGTGAAAAGGGGAGGTAAGAAGGCCAGGCTTCACCAGGACTACCAGACCCCAAACAAAGAGGGTGGTAGAGAACCACGTCTACTTCTGCTAACCCCCGGCATACTGGCTGGTCTACAGAGGTCAGCGCTGCTCCAAAACACGTCAGTTCAGTTCAGTGCAGTTGCTCAGTCGTGTCCGACTCTTTTCGACCCCATGAACCACAGCACGCCAGGCCTCCCTGTCCATCACCAACTCCCAGAGTCCACCCAAACCCATGTCCATTGTGTCAGTGATGCCATTCAACCATCTCATCCTCTGTCTTCCCCTTCTCCTCCTGCCCTCAATCTTTCCCAGCATCCAGGTCTTCTCAAATGAGTCAGTTCTCTGCATCAGGAGGACAGAGGTTTGGAGTTTCAGCTTCAACATCAATCCTTCCAATGAACACCTAGGACTGATCTCCTTTAGGATGGACTGGTTGGATCTCCTTGCAGTCCAAGGGACTCTCAAGAGTCTTCTCCAACACCACAGTTCAAAAGCATCAATTCTTTAGTGCTCAGCATTCTTTATAGTCCAACTCTCATATCCATATGTGACCACTGAAAAAACCATAGCCTTGACTAGATGGAACTTTGTTGGCAAAGTAATGTCTCTGCTTTTTAATGTGCTATCTAGGTTGGTCATAACTTTCCTTCCAAGGAGTAAGCGTCTTTTAATTTCATGGCTGCAATCACCATCTGCAGTGATTTTGGAGCCCAGAAAAATAAAGTCAGCCACTGTTTCCACTGTTTCCCCATCTATCTGCCATGAAGTGATGGGACCGGATGCTATGATCTTAGTTTTCTGAATGTTAAGCTTTAAGCCGACTTTTTCACTCTCCTCTTTCACTTTCATCAAGAGACTCTTTAGTTCTTCCTCACTTTCTGCCATAAGGGTGGTGTCATCTGCCTATCTGAGGTTATTGATATTTCTCCTGGCAATCCTGATTCCAGCTTGTGCTTTATCCATCCCAGCGTTTCTCATGATGTACTCTGCATGTAAGTTAAATAAGCAGGGTGACAATATACAGCCTTGACGTACTCCTTTTCCTATTTGGAACCAGTCTGTTGGTCCATGTCCAGTTCTAACTGTTGCTTCCTGACCTGCATACAGATTTCTCAAGAGGCAGGTCAGGTGGTCTGGTATTTCCATCTTCTTCAGTATTTTCCACAGTTTATTGTGATCCACATAGTCAAAGGCTTTGGCATAGTCAGTAAAGCAGAAATAGATGTTTTTCTGGAACTCTATTGCTTTTTCGATGATCCAGCAGATGTTGGCAATTTGATCTGGGGTTCCTCTGCCTTTTCTTTTTTTTATTTTTATTTTTTTTCTCCATTTATTTTTATTAGTTGGAGGCTAATTACTTTACAATATTGTAGTGGTTTTTGCCATACATTGACATGAATCAGCCATGGATTTACATGTATTCCCCATCCTGATCCCCCCTCTCACCTCCCTCTCCACCCGATCCCTCTGGGTCTTCCCAGTGCACCAGCCCCGAGCACTTGTCTCATGTATCCAACCTGGGCTGGTGATCTGTTTCACCCTTGATAATATACATGTTTCGATGCTGTTCTCTCTAAACATCCCACCCTCGCCTTCTCCCACAGAGTCCAAAAGTCTGTTCTGTACATCTGTGTCTCTTTTTCTGTTTTGCATATAGGGTTATCGTTACCATCTTTCTAAATTCCATATATATGCGTTAGAAAATATGGAACACTTCATGAATTTTTGTGTCATCCTTGCACAGGGGCCATGCTAATCTTCTCTGTATCATTCCAATTTTTAGTATATGTGCTGCTGAAGCGGGCACTCCTCTGCCTTTTCTAAAACCAGCCTGAACCTCTGGAAGGTCACGGTTCACATATTGCTGAAGCCTGGCTTGGAGAATTTTGAGCATTACTTTACTAGCATGTGAGATGAGTGCAGTTGTGTGGTAGTCTGAGCATTCTTTGGCATTGCCTTTCTTTGGGATTGGAATGAAAACTGACCTTTTCCAGTCCTGTGGCCACTGCTGAGTTTTCCAAATGTGCTAACATATTGAGTGCAGCACTTTCACAGCATCATCTTTTAGGATTTGAAATAGCTCAACTGGAATTCCATCACCTCCACTAGCTTTGTTTGTAGTGATGCTTCTTAAGGCCCACCTGACTTCACATTCCAGGATGTCCAGCTCTAGGTGAGTGTGAGTGATCATACCTTCGTGATTATCTGGGTCGTGAAGATCTTTTTTGTACAGTTCTTCTGTGTATTCTTGCCACCTCTTCTTAATATCTTCTGCTTCTGTTAGGTCCATACCATTTCTGTCCTTTATTGAGCCCATCTTTGCATAAAATGTTCCCTTGGTGTATCTAATTTTTGAAGACATCTCTAGTCTTTCCCATTCTATTGTTTTCCTCTATTTCTTTGCATTGATCGCTGAGGAAGGCTTTCTTGTCTCTCCTAGCTATTCTTTGGAACTCTGCATTCAAATGGGTATATCTTTCCATTTCTCCTTTGCTTTTCGCTTCTCTTCTTTTCACAGCTATTTGTAAGGCCTCCTCGGACAGCCATTTTGCTTTTTTGCATTTCTTTTTCTTGGGGATGGTCTTGCTCCCTGCCTCCTATACAATGTCATGAACCTCTGTTCATAGTTCATCAGGCACTCTGTCTACCAGATCTAGTTCCTTAAATCTATTTCTCACTTCCACCGTATAGTCAGTCATAAGGGATTTGATTTAGGTCATACCTGAATGGTCTAGTGGTTTTCCCCACTTTCTTCAATTTAAGTCTGAATTTGGCAATAAGGAGTTCATGATCTGAGCCACAGTCCACTCCCAGTCTTGTTTCTGCTGACTGCATAGAGCTACTTCATGGCAGTAAGCAATCATATCTGAAGCAGAGAGAGTGATCAATCAAGATGTCATTTTCGTCCTTTGTAGGGTAGTGAGAGTACTGGGTGTTTCCTTTGCTTGCACTGTTCCCAAGTCAACTATTTGGCATCTTTCATGATCTCCTGGAATGTCAGTAATCATCTAAGAAAATGACTATTGTGGGTCTCCTGGTCCATGTTAATTGTTCCCATGGCCAGAATTCAACCATGTCTGGGCATGTCTTCTCATAACCTGGAGAGGCAGGCAACACAAAGATATTTTTTGCATCAGTATCAAATTGCTCAGGGCACCTGTGTAAAGGAGGTTTGCATGGGCACCTGGGGAGACATGAAAATAAAGAAGATGGTACCCAGAAGATGCTGGGATGTTGATTCCCTTGCCCAGCCTCAGAGACACACGTTTGAGCCCTATATGGAGAAAGGCTAATGACATAAGCTGGTGGATCTGGTTTCCAGCAGAGGGAATAATAACGTGGGACGGGAGCACTACCCTGACACCTCGATCATTTGCAGCTTCAGTGATATAAGGAGCCTATACTCAACACAGATATTCTGTGTGATGAAAATTATGAAAAACTTGGAAGTAAGGCAAAAGGATGTCGTTTCCATGTTACAGTCTAACAGGCTGCCCAAAGATTATTTGTCTAGAGGGATATGTTTTGTTTGACTTACTATTTATCATTGATTACAGCCAAGTCTCTCTGAAGTCTCTGTTAACTTGCAGACTATTTGTAGAGATGCAAATGCTTCTGTCAAATAGAAATGATGGCCTCCAAGCTAACAATTGCTTTTCCCTATAGGACATTAAACAGTATTGTATCGAAATCAAACTTCATCGTTTTACTTTAGAATTATTTCTTTGAGTGCCTATATGCACTTTCTTTCAGATTCTCCTTTGTTTATTTATTTGTTGTACTGGGTCATCACTACTGTGCAGTGGCTTCTCTTGACACGAAGCGTGGGCTCTAGGGTGTAGAGGCTTCAGTACTTGTGGCGTACGGGCTTGGTTTCCCCAGCATGTGGGATCTTCCCAGACCAGGGATTGAACCCATGTCCTCTGCATTGGCAAGTGAATTCTTAGCCACTGGACCACCAGGGACGTCAAAATTCTCCTTTGAACCAACTTACCATACTGCTGTCTCCTCATTAATGAGTTAAATATTTATAGGGGCTTATTCTATATTTTTTATGTCACACATTTTTAAACATTTGTATTAGAGTTTAGCTGCTTTACACTGTTGCATTAGTTTCCGCTTTATAGCAATGGGAATCAGTTATGTGTATACATATATCCCCTCTTGTTTTTAGATTTCCTTCCCATTTATGTCACCACAGAGCACTGAGTAGAGATCTCTGCGCTATATAGTAGGTTCTCTTTGTCACATTTTCAGTTTTCTAAAAATTATACTTTGACAGTGGACACATAGCTATGGCAAAGGTGAAATACTCTTTAGGTGTTTAATTGAACAGTGGATATCAATGAGAGGGCTGAGGCAAGTGAGGAGAATGGTGGGTGCCATAAGGTAATGACAGCTGAAAGATAGGTTCATGAGGACATTAGAAATATCTCCTGGGGGCCTTGCAGACGCTGCCACCCCGGAGCCTTCCTTGCTGTCTAGCCATGGTCAACCCCACCATGTTCTTCGACATCACTGTCGATGGCGAGCCCTTGGGCTGCGTCTCTTTTGAGCTGTTTGCAGACAAAGTTCCAAAGACAGCAGAAAACTTTCCTGCTCTGAGCACTGGGGAGAAAGGATTTGGTTATAAAGGTTCCTGCTTTCACAGAATAATTCCGGGATTTATGTGCCAGGGTGGTGACTTCACACGCCATAATGGTACTGGTGGCAAGTCCATCTATGGCGAGAAATTTGATAATGAGAATTTCATCCTGAAGCATACAGGTCCTGGCATCTTGTCCATGGCAAATGCTGGCCCCAACACAAACGGTTCCCAGTTTTTCATCTGCACTGCCAAGACTGGGTGATTGGATGGCAAGCATGTAGTCTTTGGCAAGGTGAAAGAGGGCATGAATGCTGTGGAAGCCATGGAGCGCTTTGGGTCCAGGAATGGCAAGACCAGCAAGAAGATCACCATTGCTGACTATGGACAAATCTAATGAATTTGACTTGTGTTTTACTTAATTACCAGACCATTCCTTCTGTAGCCCAGGAGAGCACCCTTTCACCACCATCTGCTCGAAATATCCCATAATCTTTGTGCTCTCGCTACAGTTCTTTGGGTTCCATATTTTCCTTATCCCCCTCCAAGTTTAGCTGGATTGCAAAGTTAAATTTATGATTATGAAATAAAAACTAAACAATTAAAAAAAAAGAAATATCTCCTGGGGACTCCCAGACATGACTTGGTGAAACAAACATTTTACCTAAAGTTCCTGATTTCATCTTGATTGTGAAGGCAGAAGGAACTCAGAAAAGGGAAGCTGTCCAAGTTTCACTGAGACATTATTTCAAAACCTTTTCATGAAAACTTCTAATTGGATATCCTTTGGCCAACTTGAACTCATGTCTAAAACTGTACTTCTTTTTCCACTCAAACTTACTTCTACCATTTTCCCCACTTCTTAAATGGCAACTCTCCTCACCCAGTCCTTCAAGCCTGAAACTGAAAAGTCATCCTGGACTTCTCTAGACTCTACATATAATCAATATGGTCAACGTAAATAAAAAGGTAAACTGAGACAGCCTCAATTTACCAGAAATTTAGTTTACTTGGGAATAGCAGAGAAATTGCAATTCAAGAAATGCAAGCTGTATCAAGCTACAGGTGAGTCCCTTGAGGGTTCAGGGTGGGCTGCATTTCTGGGCAAGGAGTGCAAAGAGGAGGATGTCCAGCCAGAGTCTAAGCAGCAAGTTCACTGGCTTGAGGATGGGGAGAGATGTTCGTTGGTCAGGAGATAGGTCTCTGTCCTCTGGAAGTCAGGCATTTATGGGAAATCAGTCTCTCGGTTAAGTTCCATTCTTCTGAGGACACATGCCTGAGATTCTCTATCCCCAATCCTCCAATTCCATTTCAGGTTGAAACCCTCTCACAGTACCCAAGTCTTAACTAATTCTATCTCATAAACATTTTCCCCTTCCTGCTACTGTTTTCTCAATTCAGTTCTTTATCACCTCTCGCTTGATTAGCCTCCTCACCTGACTTAGGTTTCACCTTTCTTATCACTCATCCTGCCAGTCTAGTTTATACAATGTTGCCAGTTTCATCTCATTAAAAAATATTATAATCATGTTACTCTGATTAAAACCCTTCAAGGGCAGGGGTGGGGGTGGGGAACCCTTCAAGGGAAGCCAGTGTAGAAGTGGAGTTGATGGAATTTGATAACCAAGTGAGTTAAGCAATCCAGGATGTGAAAAGAATCTTCAACGTTTTTACTGCCTATAGGGTAAAGTCCAGTCCAGGCTCATAACACTAAGGCAATTTACACCTGCTCTCAACTTACTTTATCAGTCTCATTTTCAGGCCCTCCCTAACAAATACCCTACACTATGATTACATCGCACTTCTCACCATGCTCTTCATGCTTCCTAGTCTTGTGGCCACTGTTCCCATTGTCCCAAACGACCTCATCTCTCTTCTCTGCTAAGTACATTCCCATTCACCTGTCAAATTCCTCCAGGTGGAACTCACTGGTGTCTCCTTAAATTTGGCACCATAGATGCCTTAATCCTGACACTGGTAGCCCTCGACCAGCTTACCAGCCAACTGGTGGTCACAACTCAATGTCCTCCTCCACTATGTGACAATGAAAGGCAATATCTGCTCCTAGACAGGCTCCTGTACTGGGGTGGGCTAAGGGAATACGTAAAGGACATTATTAGGTCAACTGCTAAAATTGGAATATGGGATGATAGATTAAAGTATTGTATCATGGAAATTCCCTTATGGTCCAGTGGTTAGGACTCTGCCTTCCATTGCAGGGGGCAAGGGTCCAATCCTTGGTCAGAGAGCTAAGATCCCACAAGCTGTGTGGAGTGGCCAAAAATAATAAAATGTTGTATCAATGTAAATTTCTGAAGTTGATAATTGGATTGTGGTTAAAGTAAGAGAATATTACCATACTCTTCAGAAATATGCACTGAAGTATTTAGGGGTGAAGGGCAATGACATATAATTCTCCCCAACAGTTCAGGAGAAAAGAGAGAGAGATAGGTAGATCATACAAATGATAAAGCACATGGGGTAAAAACTTAAAGATGCTTGAGGAAGTCATCAGGAGGACAAGACTGCCAGTTGACCTGGGGTTGGACGAGCAATGCGAGGCTTCTTACCCCCTCCTCTGCTTGCTTGGAATGTGCATTCTGCCCACTGCTCCCATAGCCAGAGGCGATTCAAGGCCAGAGCTCTGAGAGAGTGAGGTATTGAGACCACCTGGACTGAATAAGTGACTGAGCCCAGTGTGGGCCTCTATGTAAACTTTTAAGATTCTGGCACGTGGGTGTGGAGAAGGGTTTGTCTGGGGACCATCCAAGATGAGCCTCCTATGTAAGTTCCCTAACTTATAAAACCTCCTCCTACCAGTCTGGGGTGGTCTGCTTCTTTGTTTGGTCTCTCCTCGCCCTCTGAGGATAAGGCGCCAATCTCAGATTTCACCTGGGGAGCTCCAGAGGTTTTGAATGGACAAAAGGGTTTATAACTGTTCTTTAAACTATTCTCTTTTTTTTTTAATTATTGGCATCTAGTTGCTTTACAGGACTTCACCAGTAACGAATCCGCCTGCAGTGCAGGAGATGTGGGTTCAATCCCTGGGTTGGGAAGATTCCCTGGAGGAGGAAATGGCAACCTACTCCAGTATTCTTGCCTGGAGAATCCCCATGGACAGAGGAGCCTGGTGTGCTACAGTCCATGGGATCTCAAAGAGTCAGATACGGCTGAAGCAACTGAGCATGCACACGCGCATAGTTGCTTTACAATGTTGTGTTAGTTTCTGCTGAAGAGCAAAGTGAACCAGTTATACATATACATATATCCCTTCATTTCTAGATTTCCTCCCTATTTAAGTGACCACAGAGCATTGAGTAGAGTTCCCTCTGAGTGCATGCATGCTAAGTCATTTCAGTTGTGTCTGACTCTTGGTGACCCCATGGACTGTAGCATGCCAGGCTCCCTTGTCTATGGGATTCTCCAGGCAAGAAGGGTTGCCATGCCCTTCTCCAGGGGATCTTCCCAACTTGGGGATTGAAACTGCATCTCTTACATCTCTAGCACCACCTGGGAAACCTAGAGCTCCCTGTGCTATAACAGAAAGTCCTCATTAGTTATCTATTTTATACATTATATATATATAAATATATATGTGTGTATGTATATATATATGTGTGTGTGTGTATATATATATATGTGTGGTCTTCCCTGGTGGCTCAGTTGGTAAAGAGTCTGCCTACAATACAGGAGACCCGGGTTCAATCCCTGGGTCAGGAAGATCCCCTGGAGAAGGAAATGGTAACCCACTTCAGTATTCTTGCCTGGAGAATTCCATGGACAGAGGAACCTGGTGGGCGACAGTCCATGGGGTCACAAAGAGTCGGACACAATTGAGTGACTATATATATATGTCAATCCCCACCTTCCAATTCATCCCACCCCTCCTCTTTACACTATTCTTATTCTAGCACTCTTGCTGTATGTTTGAAATTATCTCCAAATAAAAAGTTTAAAAAATCATACAATAATGCTTTTATCAGAGTACTTATACTGTGATTGTGGCTCCACTAGTCTATGAGCAATCACAGATATGGACTATGATTCATCATTTCCAGGGAGCATGCCTTCACGGGACAGGACAAATGGTAGGTATGCTATGCATGCTTATTGATTGACCATAAGCATTAGCAAATGCATTCCCTGCAAAGGGTGTACTGATAAGGGTTAATCTCCTGGGTGATGTGTTAGAGGTTCAAGCAAGTTAAGAAATGTTTGCTGGTGCTCACAGCAAAACCATTTATGTTTCTTGATGTTATCGCCTCTTGCCTTCAGGGGTTGGTTTGACATTACAGGCATACTTCTGCAAAGGAAATATCATGGATTCCTCAGTTCTGAGTATGTTAAAGCTTTCCTAAAGTAAAGCCCAAACTGTGTTATGCTGGTTGTGTTGAAATTTTAAAGCCCAAACTGTGTTGTACAGCCTGTGTTGAAATTTACCATTTCCTGTTATTTCTATAATTGAGCAGACACCCTGAAAAATTTGTGAACACTCCCATACCACCTTCACAGAAAGGTATGATTGTAAGCCCCAAAGAGGTCACATGATTCACAGAGGCAACTATGCAAACAAGTGCCTGCTCCATCACACCTGCCTCTAATTAAGAAAATGACTCATCAGTACGCCATGATGGGTAATTGTTTTTAGTACTGCTTTTTTTTTAAGCTCTTTATTTATTTGGCTGCACCTGGTCTTAGCTGTGGCACATGGGATCGTCCAGCTTCCTTGCGGCATGTGGAATCTTTAGTTGCGTGTGAGATCTAGTTCCCCGAGCAGGGATCAAACCGGACCCCCTGCATTGTGAGTATGGAGTCTCAGCACTGGACCACCAGGGAAGTCCCTGTTTTTAGTACTGCTTTTGACTATCAAAGAACCATAATACAATCATTCATTAAGTTAAAAAAAATTTGTTGAGTATCTACTATTGGAGGGGTATTGTCCTGGTTACTGAGGATACAGTAGTGAACAAAACAGTGTCCTGGTGTCATGGATGTTACAGTCCAGTAGGGGAGACAGACATAAGACAAGTAAGTACATCAGAGATTACTTTTGAAAAATTCAAAATTTCAAGAAAATATAATAGTTTCCTGGGCATAAGGCTCAGGGTTCCTGGAAAGTATTTCTTTAGGAAATTTGAGTGTATACATTTTGTGGTTTTACAAAATTATCAGTTAGAGAGTCTATACATTAGTATCTCCTTCTTGAATTGAAAGTTAGTGCTGTTGACTTGTCATTAATAGAAGTAATGGAATTAATTCTTCAGG